AACCGTAGCGTGTGTCAAAGTTACCTCATTTAAGCCAAAATGTAACTAGCAGGAACAGGCTTTATTTCCAAAAAATAGTTGTTTATTTATATAAATAATACATACAGAAGCATTTACTCCATGCTTGAACGCTGTTCATAAACTACAGAAAAATCAATGTTGCAAAATAGGCTGTATGCTAAGAATAAAACAAAGAAGGCAAACAGCAACGTAATAGAACGGGGATGTTACTGCAGGAGTGAAGAAACTGATATCGCAATGAACATGACGAGTTCAAAGCGACAACAAAACGAACCTGAGAAAACTACCAAATCAATGGCAAAACGAGACTAAGAATGCTGTTGGAGCAACGTGGAAGATAAGAATCACACAAGACCAAATTTAATGGCAAAATCTTGACGAGAATTTCACCCAGAACTCTATCACAAAAGCTTCATATACAGCAATGGAGATTAATTTACCCAACTATGATTTTTTCCTAATTGGTCAGGAGTACCCTTCTCTTCGATGGAATTCTCCCTTATTAAGCACAGGTAATAGAACTCGCTTCTGTCTGGGATTGCAGTAAAGCTTTCTCAGTGCCAAGAGGTAGGTAAAAGTCTTTCGATAATTTTCCACGCAAACACTGAAAGAATTCTTTATTAAGAAGCTTACTATAAATGCAAGAAGCTTGTTTTTGTCGATTATAATGATGCATGAGATCATTAGGACCGCTTCGCAAAGTGCTTTAAAACTTTTCCATAGTCTGATGTAGATCGTAAGACTAGTATTTAGTGCAAGAAATAGGATTCAGTTGAGAATGAAGAAATGAATACTGTCTCAAATAAGAAATATCATATTCTTCGTAGTCTCTGAATAATATTGCATTCAACGTTTTCAAGAAAAGTTAAGTTATTCAAGGCGTTGTTTATGCGTTTTCCAAAGTATCCGTTGGATGGGCATCGCATAAATCATTACGATTCTGTTCATCAAAAACAAACGATCTCCTTTTACCTAGGTCTAATTTAGGTTGCAACCTTGCCAAATGCAATCATATGGCCTTAGTTCTGACCTTTATCCCGTCTACTCTCCCACGCGGTGGCGAATTTACAAAATGTATACGGAAGGGATGTTCCGTAGTCTCATTACATGAATCGACAGGCCGCAAGGATCGCAATACACTGTCACACCGGTTTAATGGCAACACTGCGGCTAAAATATCCTCATTAAAGCAGTGAAACTGTTTACTCATTGGAAGCCTCACCTATATACCTCAGTGGTTATCACAGTCGTTCACCACCAGGCTCCAACAAGTTACAACAGTTATACGGACTGAGTTATATGACAGATATGCCATTGTGGCGGCAGCGCGAATTCTCGAAAATTCTTACAGGTATAAGCTATAATGCGATAATCAATTTGGAGTGAAATAACTGTTTCATATTCCACGTGCTTGTTTTTCTGTTTTTTGTCCTAATAATTCACTATTTGTTTAATTCCTGTTTCTGTTCAATCTGGTTTTAGTTCTGTCCATGTCCATATCCTGTCTTCTGTTAACTTTAAACGTAAATGCAATGGGTAAGTACCACCTGGACCAAGTGGATCATCTTGGCCGGACAGAAACCGGCGATGAATCGCGCCAACTGCGGTACATTTTGTTGTCAAAGAACAGGAAGTTTGGCCACCAGATGGAAGGGTTGATGGTGGTCAGGTGTATTTCGTACAAACGAATTCTCCAGTTCCATCCGGCTTTATATCGAAACTTCCTCTTCTAGACATTGATGAACCGACGACGTCTACATGCAAGGCAGCCGTCACATTGATGGCATTTTTTTCGCAAAGGGGATGGTCGCTTTCACCTCGTAATAAGACTGCCATTAGGCACTATAACTTTTTTCTAAGGAATAAACCGATCGAAATCGAACCCCAACTACACCCTGGTTGTCCGCGCTGTCTTTATGCGACTGCTGATTTACCGACAGATGAAATGTAGATCTGATAACCGTACTATTCTCATTATCAGCCGATAACGAATGACTCATTCAAGACCAGTTTTAACAGCATGTTGTTTGCGCCGCTCCATTTCACCTAGTTGTCTAGGGCGTCAATGAGGAGTGATTCGTTATCTGACACACTCGGACATACTGACAGCTTATGATGTTTATACGGTAGCGTTTAAGGAGCACCAGCAGCTGAAACACCATTCGCGATGAGCGCGGGAGGGCTTTAACAGACACCATCACGCGAGATGCATTCGGCACTGCAGGTGCTCAAATAAATGACCTGCTTAATTGCCACCCCTCTTCCCTGGCAGCTAGAAGCAAGGGAGCGGTGCAATAAGCCATGAAATCTGCTCCTGGAAAAGTCGCTCTTTATTCGACATACTCGTGCGTAAGAACAGCTTATGATATTATTAGTTGATATGATTATTGCAATTCTACTACTGTGCTGAATTTGACTTCTGTTTCCTCCTTTACGTTACTTTACGCTCCGCGACCAGAAAGGAGCAGCGGCGATGGAAGATGATGATGATGATGACGTTACTTTACGTCTGTGCTAAAAACGGAATCCTGTGACGATTTCCTTTATGCAATGTAGCCTGGAACTTCGAGGCAACAGAACGCTAGTAATAAAATGTACACCGTGCTCTGTAGTCAATATATAAGCCCCGGCAAATGTAGGCGCAGATACATGCCACCTAAAACCTGATAAAAATACGAGTTAAAACTACCTTATAATGCCTGACATGGCTTTAACTTGTTGTGGGATGCGTAAAACAATGTAAATAAACATAGAACAATTAATAATGAATTCTTACAAAGGAAGCATCTTCATTTTCAAGCAATGTACGCCCATTTTCATCCTCAAGGTCTGCGATAATAATAAAAATGAGACATTTCAAAAATACCACCGGTAGCTGTACCTAAATCGATGATATCCACAAAGTCTGGCAGAGTGACTGAGCAAGAGATAGCGCTGGACGTGAACTGTTTGTTTTTTCGACGATAAAAGTTAGACCACGTTTCACCGTCGCGGATTTCGTTCGATACTTCACAATAATAGAAAGTACCGCTGACAGCCGAATTCCTGCAAATAAAATTGTATTTTTACTTTAGATAGAGGACAACATAAAAAAATCAAATTTGAAACGGAAGGAAGCGTTTTTTCTATGAGATCCGTGGCGCATTCATGCGACCGACAGACCAATATTGGCCTACAGAATATATCAGAACGTCTTGAAAGATGAAGATTATGTACATCTTCAGTTTTAAACACAATAAAGCCAATTCATATACGATAAGCCATTACTTCAGACTTCCAACGCCATTTCTTAATAAATGGATACAATCCACATGTGAAGACGTATATTTCATTAACAGCGAAAGATGAATCTGTTGTGGGGAAATCTAATTCAAGACTGGATAATCTTTCACAGGATGTTACCACAAAGCAACCGCATTATATGCAGCATCTGTGACTTTTCCGATCACAGTTAATCACTGCAGGGAATAAAATAAAACAAAACGAATGTGCCAACATGTTCTGAATACACCGTTTCTAGACTGGTCGCACAGTACCATAAATTCTTTGTCCAACGCAACTTATAGTCGTGAAGCTGCGAACTCAGTGTTTCTACGCAAGTCATTAAAGTTCGACGCTACTCCAGTCTTCTATATTCTCTACTGTCTGCCTTTATCTCCGGCCAAGGGTTCGACAATGGAGTCGTCCCAATGTGCTTTTGGATGACATATATGAGGTGTACGATTTAGTGGAATTAAGCTCGTTATTCCAGACCACCGATTTTTTCTCAGGCGAGCAACACGACTAGCCATGCTCTATTGACATCGTAGAAGGTAGAGATAACGCTTTTCAATTCACTCCTTTACCGAATTTGTGCACTCATAATATGATCCCCAGATAAAACATGGCACGTCCTTCTCTTTCAGCTTTGATAGTGCACCAAACTCAATACCCTGGATTATCACCTGGCCGTGCCAAACCGCTCTTCCTTCATTCACAAAGGCAACTCACTATCGAATAAAGATGTTTGAATGCGATTAAAGCTGAATCACACAGTCTTTGGTTGTTCACTCAGTCCAACAGTAACACTTTCATTTTCCTGTTCTCCTGATCATAACTAAAAGTCAGCAGGTCTAAATCACAAATTAAATAGAAATTTGGCCGGTTACTCTAGCAATCACATAAAAGCGTCGCTTTGTGTTCATATTCAATTGCATCATTGTGTATTTACCTAGTTTTCATGCTTCGACTTTTAATGATGTCGGATGCTCATGGTTCTCAGTTGGTCAATAACAATGTTAGTGCCATATCAGCCGAAAGTTGCATGAACCATCTGGAGTTTAATGCCCTGACTCTGGTCAGTTCACTTCAAACTGCACTTTACTTCTGATATATAGAGAGAATGTTCATTTGAAAAAACAACCTTAATAATTTTACGTAATGTCTGAACATTTAAATAACAAACAACTAATAACCTTATTAAATTCAGTTTAGAGTACCAACACGATAACCAGATTGCGATTCTTGACATTCTTATTATACCAGACGCCACTGGTACATTCTTCTTCACAATATATAGAAAATTACATCATTCGAACTGCTATCTTAACACTTCATCTTACACTCCAAAATCCGTCTTCATCAAGATCATGAAATGCATTAAGGGCTATTACACTGATGACCGATTTTTCAGGGGTGAAATCAAGCTCTTTTTATTTACATTCCTTAAAAATGGATATTAAAAGTAATTAATTGATTCTGTATTTTAATGTCACAAATTGGATTCTGCCATTTTTATTATAATTTCCCTATTTCGATACTTCACATACCAGGTATATCCGATGAAATTAGATGATGTTTAAACAAATGACCGTGTTCTGCTGCAAGATAAAGCTTAGGAAATCTCTTGCATAAGAAACTTGATTCTCACCCCAGTATGGAGAATAAACAAGGGTCTATCAGATAGCTTGCAGTAGCGGTGGCCAGATATATATTGGCAAGACCTGCCGAGCTAGATTAACGGAGCACAGAAAAGCCATCAGGTACCGTAATGCTGATCATTCTGACTTTGCTGCTCATGTTCTGAAGAATGGTCGTGACTTTAACAACGATATCATGGTGGTCGATCGACGCCGGGACAAGGTGAAGCTATTAATCAAGGAGCCGCTTCATATCGCTGTTTCTAATAATGATAGAACTTCCAACAGCTGCGTTGGCCCCATTGACGTTTGCACGACATGAAGCATGCTTAATAGCTTAATAAGCAACCGGTCTAGCGTTCAACCAGTCAGGTCAAGTACCAAGTGACCTAGCAGTTTTCTTTCTTTCGTGTTTATTCCCTGATGATGGGCGATGTCAGTTCGGTAGAAACGTGGGAATTTTGTATATAAAACCTTTTTTTACTTCTCGTGCTGCCAAACATGGAATCAGAAGATCTGCTACAAGTGTGACAAGTTTTAGATTCAAACTGCCATCTTTCTGAACCATGGATGGAATTTGTTAATGAGCTTATTTTTAACGTAAAAACGTAAAAAGCTAAAACTATTGCAAATCGTGAGAATGAAGCTAATTTACACACTAGGACTGGCTTTCTTATTTAGCCACTGTACATTTGTGAAAATCACCGTTTTTAGGAACTATGACAGACTGGAACTTCTAGTGTAGCATCTTTAGGGCAAAAGTCATTGAACTTTGATAATGTTTATGGTAATAGTGAGCCTGCTTCTTCATCACAGAGTTCTGCTGATTACCATATATCAGAAAAATGAAAGGAGAGTCATCCGAGCCATAATATGAACTCACATTCTTAAGCCAATTGGCTCCATGAGTACATGGTTACCTTTCTGTTTTACATATTCCAAATTGGGATAATCTAGACTGCGTATCACAAAGCCGCAGTCCTTACACAAGGTATTTGACTGAGAGATGCTGAGTACAAAGTGGTGAACGTTCACCAACGAAAAGTCTCTCCGTAGTCCCTGTGGGCGCCAACTTAAGTCCATTGTTCACTTGAAAGCAACCCAACAGCATCCTGCGGAATATTTAGCAAATCGCAGTGCAAAACAATTGCCCCGAAGAGACCGTCAAACCATGGAGGGTCACTAAGCAATAATCTGCCTGACCAACCAACCATTCTTCACAGATTGGGTGACTGGATGATTATCTGAATGCCTCTCTGACTAACTGTTTGAACGGCTGACTGACTGATTACCTGAATGATTCATTGGCTGAATGACATGCATACGGAATGACTGACTGACTATTTACTTGAATGAATTACATAACTACTTGACAATGACGGACTGGCTGACTGATTATACTTATGCAATATGAAACCTGAAAAAATTCGATGTTAAACTCAGTAAGAATAAGAGACGTGGCGAGACAAATGAAATTTAAAACGAAGCTGACTAGTTAGCCAGAATATGCTTGCGGTTATTAGATTAAATTATGCATAAATCCTAACCGGTCGATAATCAGCACGTTGTCGCTGCAACCTTCTACCGATGAGCCATCGCAGTACCACTGATACTTTGGATAAGGAAATCCGATTGCATAGCAACTGAATGAAAATCCTCCACGAACGGGCTTCATGGTGGCATCCGCAATGATTTGCACGGCTTCTAAAACAGGATATAAAAAGGATCATAGAAAAAAATTGATAACAGCTTAAAAATTATTACCATTTACGTTAATAGCAAGCATCTGATCCTAGAACAGCGACACATTCACCACACATCTCACTAGATTGACCTTGGCAAAAGCACCGCAAAGTTGTATAACAGCCTTGTGAGGTAGCAAGTGAATAAATGAAGATCGCTTTAAATACCGAC